TACCCCAAGATACATTGACTAGTTCCTGGTTATAGAACACTATATTGACTTATTAAGTAAGTACCCAAGTTGTTTTTTTTTTTAAAAAAAGAACTTTTATTGTAGGCTACTTTTATTTTGAAACAAAAGGGAAAAAAAAAAAATGCAAGTGGCTCTTTGCCTTGACGAATCAATAATTCCTCAACGCTATTGTCCAATTCAAATCCTCACAAGCATGTCATATTCTTCCTTCCGAAAAAGCTGGGAGCGAAAGTACTCAAATCAATGTATGTATTCATTCACTTTTTTATTTTTGAAAAAAAATGATATTATGCTCGTGAAGTGGTGATTGCATAGATGAAGAGGGACGAAGCTACAGGTTTAATGACTAATACAAAGAGAGGAGCTTGTATCCTTTTTTTTTTTTTTTTGAGCAAACAGAGGAGCTTGTATCTAGAAATTCAAGCAGAAATATTATTAGCAAATATTTAATATTTTCTAACTATATATATTTGATAAATAGGTCTTTACTTCACTATTGAAGATTAGCAAATAAAGTTGACAAGAAGGAAAATGAAATCAAATGGATGCGTATTCAAGTAAGTATTTTAAATTTATTCCTTAATTAAAATAAAAATTATATTGTTGGTTTTATGTATTGAATTTATTTTATTTTCTTAACAGTATGCTCAACAACCATAAAATGTAGAGTGTAATTATTATGTGATGCTTTTCATAAATGAAATCATTACTCAAGTTATTATCCACTCATTTGATAAGGTAATAATATGTTTTTAATGCTTTATATTTTGAATCTTGCTTTATACTAAAATTGTTATTTATATGTATATTGTTATTGAATTTGCAATATTTCACAAGTTTAGAGTCATATTCTAAACAAGAGATGAGACATATATATAAAATTTGGTCTAGTTTCTTTCTAGAATTAACAAGATTAGAGCAAATAGTTTATAGATATTGTATTGGAAATACATATATTTAATTGATATGTTTGTACTAGTCTCTGGAGTTGTGTTATATATTTATGTAGGCTTTGTAATTAATAAAGAATGTATATAGTTATAAGTGATTCTTTTTTTTTAAAGAAAAAAAAAAGCAAAGCACTTATTGCCACAGTTATTTACTACAATTGTGGCAAAAAATGTCATTTATGGCCGTAGGTCTGAGATAGACCTGTGGCCATAAATGCTTCCTTTTACCATTTATGACCATAGGTCTAGCTTGAACCTGTGGTAGTAAATGACATTTTTCACCATAGTTCACAACAAAATTGTGGCAAAAAATGTCATTTACTATCAGACTTACTTTTACCATACACTATATTCTGTCGCAAAAAATACTTTTTAACTATGGCGAAAAACTCTTTTTGCACTAGTGTTACTCATAATTGAGACCTAATTGGTTTTTATAGAGCTCAGTTTGATTCGATTTTTTTTTTCGATTTGTTTTGGTTTGGTTAAGTTAAGGTCTGGATCAGGTTTTAATGCACTTATTTAATTTTTTTTTCTATTTTCACAATGGTCCTATGTATTAAAATTAAATCTAATTCTTTTTGGCTCCTTTTTTTTTCATAAATAGAGGTATACAAAAATAATAAAATTTCAATGTGATAACAATAATTAATTATAAAAATTAATATAAGTTTTTAAGATTAAAATTATTTAATATTATGCATTTTCATTCAAGTCTTTTGAAAATATTTATCTATGTATTTATATTTTAATAAATAATGAAAAATTATTATACAAAATTAAAAAAATACTTCTTGTAGATAAATTGAATACTGAGGCTTTCAAGTTGTAAGTAATTAATGATGATCATAACATGATTATTATAATTATTTAATATTATGCATTTCTATTCAAGTCCTTTAAAAATATTTATCTATTACTATAAAAAATTTAAATAAAATGTTTCTTGTAGATAAATTGTTATATATTTTATAAATAATAAATAATATTTTTTTAATCAGGTTTGGCTTGATTTGGTTTAGTTTCTAATAATCAAAACTGAACTTGAACTAAACCAATCAGTTCTCATATTATAAAAACTAAGGAAAACTTGATTATTGTTCAGTTTTGATCGGTTTCTTTTGGTTTAGGTTGGTTTGAATCGATCCTTTCGGTTTGGATCAGTTTTAAATACTCTTACCTACCAGAATGCGCATAAAAAAATCGCTTTTCTTATTACGTAGGACCAAATGCTGCAATTAGGTGAGCTCATAGGAGGAACACACTTAGAAAGTTTGAGAGGATTATGGAAGGACTAATATTTAATAATATACTAATAAAGATTAGTCCTTTTTTTTGGAATAAGATGGTAAGCCAAGGCTTGAAAATTACAAACGATTAGAAAATAAACTAGAAGAGCTAGGCCCCAGAGGCTAAGGCAAGCACAAACTTTTGCATATCTTCATGAACAAAATCGACGCAATTAGTAGGAATTGTGGGTAGAACTATTGTTTCAAAGGAACCATTGTGTGCCTCCTTAGCAAGCGCATCTGCATTTCATAAAGCCTCTCGAGTAGTATGGAAGATCTCAATTTCCCAATCAAGAAAGAGGAGTTCTCTGGTTTCAATAACTTTAGTCCTCAAAGGATGATCAAGGCTATGTTCTCTAAATAAATGGCTTAAGGCTTCTAGAGAATTAGAAAATAGTTGGAAATTTCTAAAGCTATAGAGTTTACCAACTTTTAGTTCTATCTTGGCACTAAGGATTTCAGCCACAGTAGTTGGATATGTTCCTAGATTTTATTTGAAGCCTAAGATCCATTCCCCTTTGTCATTGTGGATGATACCCCCACATGCTGCTTCAAGTTTTCCTTGAATAGATCCGTTGACATCAATTCTTAACACCCCAAGTAGGGGTGGTTTCCAAGATAACTCTGAGGACGTAAGAGTAAGGGAAAGCTTGTGATTGAGTTTCTCATTAACAATGCCATCCATCAGTCTATGCATGCAACAATGTTATTCCTTAGGATTAGCACTCTTGCCTTAAAAGATATGTTTGCATCTCTGAGTTCACAATAGCCAATGATATGGTTGAATGTTTTGAACCAATGCCATTTATAGACCCTCCTTTCATCTGGATTATGTTTAAGGTTCCACTATAGCCATACTTGCAAATCACTAAATAAAAAAATAGATAAATGGTTATGGTTAAGAAAATCCTTCCACACTTGTTTCACTCTATTATAATCTCTCAATATGCGTATGACTCTCTCCTCATAAGGGTACTCAAAAAGGCACTCTGATGAGTTAGAGTGACCTCTCTTAGCTCTAAGGGAATTAGTGAATAATCTTTCATGAGTAACTTGTCACATAAACATCTTTATTTTCTCGAGCAGCTATTACTTCCATATTTTACTCCAAAGAGGGTCTGCATTATCAAACCCAGCATGAGTGATGAATCCATATGCTGCTTTAATAATGAATTAGCCATCATGAGCCATTCTCTACCATAAAACATCTTTTTGATTATTGGAAGGTGTCTTCACATTTTTCAATATATTGGGAGCTTGTAGTAGGAAGAATTTGGTCCATTCTTGAAGGTTTCAATTCCTATTAGGTAGCACAAAATCCTTGACTTTGTTTGAATGGTTGATTAGATCAATCAAGATTTCTTTTTGCAAGCATACTGAGAGGTTGGTTGAAAGGGGTCCAGAGATCCTACCAAAACCCATAAAGTTAATAAGAATTTGACTCATAATCTACAAAGTTTTGAGTTCAAATCTAGCTGCCAATGTGATGATGTTGTCACTAGATAATTTGTAAGTACTACTTTTCTTAGGAAAATGATTATAACAAAATAACAAGTTATAAGTAGCTTTATGCAATTTTTTATCCTTGAAGAAATTATCAAAATGAAATAGTATATTACTAATTGCTCTATGCAAATTTTTTTAATCAATGAAGTTCAAGAACTAAAATCATTAGTTATCACTTTCTTTCGATAAATGACTAGTTTCTTGAGAAAATGATCAGAACAAAATAGCAAATTAAAAATTATTTTGTGAAAATTTTATTATCAATGAAGTTTAATTAACAACAAAAATTTAGTTATTATTTTTGTTTTGGGAATTGACTAATTACAAGTCGCTATGTGCAATGAGCAACTTGTAATTAACTTTCCTGTTATTGCTATTTTATCAAGAAAACTAATCTTTTTCCAAAAGAAAGAAACCATTGATTTTTAGTTATTGGACTTCACTAATTGTTAAGGAAAGGAAGTCGCTAATTTATTAAGATAAATGATCTTCTATATAGGGGAAAATATATCATTTCACAAAAAATAAAAATGTCAAGTAAGCTTTTAATACTGAAAAATAATTATCTCATTTCACATTACGTAATTGTCATTCGCATCTTTAAGAGATATTTTTCTTCATTCTCCTCATAATATAACATATTTATATTTAAAATATAAATTATAATGTTTTAAGATTTTAAATAATTAATATTTCAAGAACAAATACATATTTTAAAATTCAAATTTTATTTAAAAATTTAAAATATATCAATTTTTTAGATTTAAAATAGATACAGGTTTGGGCTAAAAAAATAAATACAAATTTAAATGAGTAACTTAAGTTAGTCAATTTTTTTAGATTTAAACGAGCCAGTCCATCATTTAAAAGCCAACCTTGAAAAAAAAGAAAAAAGTTCGTCTCTTTTTTTTCTTTTTCTTATGTAACAACCCATTTCCATTTAATTTTAGTCTACGTCACACGTGGGACTTTTTCAAGTCATCATAAGTTCTTAAAAATAAATAAAAAAATCGTCCCCACTTCCCACATGGTAGCTACAGCCACGTCATCCATCATTTTCAAATTTTATCCAATCCCAACGCCCAACCCAACGGTTGTGTTGTCTCTCCCGAACACAATCCTAGCCGTTCAAATGTCAATCCTGCTCGACCTTTATGCATCGCTGTCCGAAGCTTATGCTCTCCTTCTCCCTTCAATAGAGTAAAATAATGCTTTTACAGGCGGAATATTCTGGTACTACTCTTCCATTAGAGAAGAGAGAGAATCGGGAAGCTTCATTTTTGAATTTGACCTCGATTGTTTATATCGTTATTCTTTCTTGCTGAAGCTTTGGACAAGCTAGGATTTTCAAACTTGATCACCTTCGCGCGCATTTCGGTCCATTTGTGTCTGTTTCTCTATTAGTAAAAATAAACCAATTCTGGGTGTTTGGATTCTCAGAAACTGGTTTGGGCATTCCTCACTGCGGATTTTGGATGCAATTTGTGAGACACAGATTCTGGAGCTTAAAGACGAAGCTACATTGGATTAGTTTCTCAATCTTAAAGGTTGGTCCTTCAAGTTTATCTTTTCCCCATCTTTCCATTATTCTCTGGTTTTTTTCCCCAGTTCAAAAAAGTCAAGTTTCTTCGTTTTCTTTCTTTTTGTCGTATTTCTAAATCCTCATGAAATCTCTGATTTTCTTCTACTTTTTTGGTTTGGGTATATAAAAACAGAGGAGGAGAAGATTAAAGTGGCATCTGATGCGTTTCAAGACTTCGAATCTTTGGAATATTGATTAAATCAATTTGACTTGAAGGTATAATCGAAACATGGTTTTTTTTTTTTTTAATTCACTTCCGGTTTTTTCAAGTGATTTATATTATGCACTTGCATCTTCTTCTTCACTTGAAAGAAAAGCCTCTCTCTTTCCATGTTGAAAATGTAAGAAACCAGCGAAGACCGGCACTCTCTAGTCATGACCGTTGATGACAAGTCCGTATTTAGATATGAATTTAATACTCCACTCTAGCAACTTCATGAAAAGTAAAGGTGGAAAGATCTAAAAACTTGTTTACCAATATACCCCTAGGAAAAACACCATATTACAACTGAACCCTGTCTCTTGAGTATCTGTTGTAAGTTTTAAGTTTTAACCCTCTTGTGCAGGGTGTTTTTGGAATATCACAAAAGTATCACCCACCTCTAGTCGCTAGTATTCAATCCTCTGTTTCTCTTCATTCCAATCAACAAAGTTTTGAGTAACAACATTTTTTATTGTTTATGGTTCATTGATTAAATACAATTCTCTAAAAGATCAGACTCGTGGGACATCGTTAGGTACTTAAGTTTTATCGTTCGAATCATGTTGTCCATAAACAAACTTTGTTGTGTGATCACTCAGTAGATTCCATTTGAGGCCATTGATTGATGTTGTGGTTGGCCCCAAGTTGTTCTTTTGCGTCTGGGAATTTTCTATTAGAATCTTAATTTACAGTTTAAGAATTTTATGATTGCAACTGCTCCACCACTTCCTTTTTTAATTCTCAATACTAATCATACATCTCTTTTGCCTTCTACAAATCCTCTCTTTCTTGATCATTTCTCTCAAGGCTTGCTTGTCTCTTCTTCTTCTTTTCCTTCTCCAGACATCAAAAGAAATGGTGGAACAACGTGGAGAACAAGTTGACGATATTGATAGCTACTCCACAGAAGACTGGTTCTTGCAAGCACAAGAACTCGTGCCCATTGCTGTTAACAAAGCAAAAGAGGTTAAGGGCTTTCCTGGTAGATGGAAAGTGATTGTTTCAAAGATAGAACAGATCCCATCATGCTTATCAGACTTGTCTAGCCATCCTTGCTTCTCCAAGAATGCTCTTTGTAAGGAGCAATTGCAGGCAGTGTCAGAGACCCTTGAGCAAGCCATTGATTTAACTGAGCTATGCAGGAAGGAGAGGTATGAAGGTAAGCTTCGAATGCAAAGTGATCTCGATGCTTTATCCGGTAAATTGGATTTGAATTTACGAGATTGTAAGCTGTTGATCAAGACTGGTGTCCTTGGTGAGTCTACTTTTCCATTGAATGTGTCTGATACTGTGAAACAAGGCAACGATGTGAGGGAATTGTTTGCGCGGCTTCAGATTGGTGACTTAGAGGCAAAGCACAGAGCTATAGACAGTCTTGTTGAAGCAATGAAGGAAGAAGAAAAGAGTGTTATGTCTGTTCTAGGAAGAAGCCAAATTGCTTCTTTAGTTCAAATGTTAATGGCTACATCTCCTAGGATAAGGGAAAAAGCGGTTACTGTAATATGCTCTCTTGCAGAATCAGGGAACTGTGAGAATTGGCTTCTCTATGAAGGAGTTTTGCCGCCTCTTATCCGGCTTGTTGAATCTGGTGGGTCTCTTGGGAAAGAGAAGGCTGCAATATGTCTTCAGAGGCTGTCCATGTCGGAAGAATCAACCCGAGAAATCGTAGGACATGGCGGGGTTAGACCACTGATTGAGCTATGCGAAAATGGTGATGCTGTGTCCCAATCTGCTGCTGCCTGTTCTTTGAAGAACATATCAGCTGTTCCTGAAGTGAGACAAGCTTTAGCCCAAGAAGGCATTGTGAAGACCATGATCAATCTCCTTGATCATGGAATTTTACTAGGTTCAAAAGAGTATGCTTCAGAGTGCTTACAGAATCTCACATCAAGCAATGTCAATCTAAGAAGGTCTGTTATATCAGAAGGTGGTGCTAAGAGCCTTCTTGCTTATCTTGATGGTCCTCTCCCACAAGAGTCAGCTGTAACAGCATTGAGGAATCTAGTTGGATCAATCGGCGAGCGAGATTTAATCTCATTAGGCCTCCTTCCACGTTTGATCCATGTGATAAACTCCGGATCTTCTGGAGCTCAGCAGGCTGCTGTGACGGCAATATGCCGCGTTTTGATCTCATCAGAAATGAAGAAAATGGTGGCTGAAGCTGGATTCATCCCACTGCTCATAAAAATGCTGGAAGCTAAATCAAACAGCGCGAGAGAAGTGGCAGCGCAGGCGATCGCGAGCTTGATGACAGTAACACAAAACCGTAGGGAGGTGAGAAGGAATGATAAAAGTGTGCCAAATCTGGTTCAGTTGCTTGATCCAAGCCCGCACAATGCTGCAAAGAAATATGCAATTTCATGCCTATGTTCACTTTCTTCGAGCAGGAAATGTAAGAAGCTGATGATTGCTTATGGAGCAATTGGATATCTGAAGAAGCTTAAAGAGATGGATATTCCAGGAGCTAAAATGCTACTTGACAGATTGGAAAGAGGGAAATTGAGAAGCTTATTTATTAGAAAATGAGCTTTCATTATCAGCAAGGTTATCTTTTGTTTCTTTGTTCATGTGAATGATGTTTGTATGGTTGTTTCATTATCTATATGAAACACAGCAGCTTCAGACCGTTTATTATACAATCAATGTTAATATTATAAAACAACAACAACAACAAGCCTTTATCCCACTAGGTGGGGTCGGCTACATAGATTGCAAGACGCCATTGTGCTCTATCATTTATTAAGCTTTTAGAAATATTATTAATTAAGAGATCACGTTCAACAACTTCCAAGAGTGTTCTCTTAGGCCTTCCTCTACCTCTCTTAATCGGACTCAAAGTTATATGTTCCACTCTTCTCACTGGTGCCTCCCTTGGTCTTCTTTGTACATGCCCAAACCATCTCAACCGATTTTCTACCATTTTTTCCTCAATAGGTGCCACCCTCACTTTTTCACGTATGTGCTCATTTCGAATTTTATCTTTACGTATATGTCCGCACATCCATCGTAACATTCTCATCTCTGCTACTCCAACTTTATGCTCTTGCTGTCCCGTTAGAGCCCAGCATTCACTACTATATAACATTGCCGGTCTGATAGCAGTACGATAAAACTTTCCTTTAAGTTTATTAGGCACCTTACGGTCACAAATAACTCCTTTAGCTTTTCTCCAATTAAACCACCCAGCTTGAATTCTATGTGAAATATCTCCACTGATTTTGCCATCATTTTGAATAATGGCTCCCAAATATCTAAACTTTTCCACTTGAGGTATAATTTGATCTCCCAATTTCACTTCCAAATTATTTTCGAATAGTCCTTTACCAAATTTACAATATAAATATTCCGTCTTACTTCTACTCAGACGAAAACCTTTCGACTCCAATGTCCTCCTCCATAACTCAAGTTTGCAATTAACCTTTTCTCTTGTCTCTGCTATAAGAACTATATCATCCGCAAAGAGCATACATTTCGGGATTTCCTCTTGAATATGTTCCGTCAAAACATTTAAAATCAAGTTGAATAAATAAGGACTCAGAGATGATCCCTGATATAGTCCAATCTTTATAGGAAAATCCTTTGTTTGACCACTAGGCGTTCTTATACTAGTTTTTATCCCCTCATACATATCTTGTATGGCTTTAATATAAGCAATCCGTACTCCCTTTTTTTCCAACGCTTTCCAAAGCACTTCTCTTGGTATACGGTCATAAGCTTTTTCCAAATCAATAAAAACCATGTGTAGATCTTTATCTTTACAATAATACTTTTCCATTAATTCCCTTAGTAGATAAATCGCCTCTGTAGTTGATCTACCTGGCATAAAACCAAATTGATTCTCAGAAATACTTGTCTCCAATCTCAACCTGTGCTCAATTACTTTCTCCCACAATTTCATTGTGTGGCTCATAAGTTTAATCCCTCTATAATTAGTACAGTTTTGAATATCTCCTTTATTTTTACCCGGGCTTGGGACCGGCTATAAACATAGGCGGAGTTAATCAATGTTAATATTATAATATGTTTAATATCTTCCTCTTTCTGTCTAACATGTTGTGTTACGGAGTTTGAGTTTTGAGGAGGTTGTGATAATCATGGCAAGAGATCACTCTTAGTAAATTACCGAGATTTTATAATTAACTAATTAGAACAGAATAAATTATTGCATATTTAGCAATAGTTGGTATATATGCATGTATCTGATATTGAATAAATGTAATATCCTATATTCAATTTTAAGCATTTTAATCTTACATGTGTGTTAGCTTGGTAAAGATTTAAATATCCATCAATTTTTTCTATAAGCATCAAATATCTTTAAGTGAATAAAGGTATTAGAGTATTCATGAACTTATTTTAATGAGTGCAACCTTTCCCATTCTATTGCTTGACATTCATTAACATTGACTATTAAAAAAAAGAAATAAACATAAGATGGAAAAATTTCATAAATTTTTTATCGAGGAGTTTATGATATCATTAAGTCAACAATAAAATACATGGATATTATTTAACTTTGTGAAATAAGTTAATATTCTCTGATTCGTTAAGTTCTATTCTTAAAACTTAACAGTTAAGGTCAACTTATTTTAACAAATTAGGGAAGGATAGAGTCAATAATTTTGGACAAGTTTAATAAGCCAACCAAAATTAACCCGAAAAGTCTAGATTTTTTTTTTTTTACTTTGGGCTTATTTAAGGCTTGTATAAGCCAAGAGAAATTTGAGATACACTTGAACCTCAAATGAGCTTAGCATAAATATTCAAATTCTTTTTTGTTATTAACAAATTAAAGTTAAAATTTGATAAAATCAAAACTCTTAATTTTTGAGATAAAAATTGAAATTGACTAAAAAAAATAAATAATATGATATTTAATAATTTGGATAGTTGTGCTAGCCTAAAAACTCAAGGTGTTAGGGTTAGGTCTGTCTATATGACTTCTTTTATAAAATTAATGGATATCCATATATCATTGTTAACTTAATAATACTAGAAACTTCTATAAAAGAAATTTATTGGTATTTTTGCACCTTATATTTACTTTCTTTTTTGAACAGTCAACGTTAATAAATGTCAAGAAAATTAACAGGTTGGGAAAAGTTGCATTCATTAAAAACAAGTTCATGGATATTTATGTACATTTGTTCACTTAAGAATACAGCATGTCCTTTGAGAAAAAAGTTGTTAGATTTTTTTTTTGCACCTTAACCTTACTTCTTTTGTATTTGAGCCTAAAGACATGCTATGAGCATTTTAAGTAGTGCTAAAAAACTGGCCAAGTCCATTAGGCTAGCTCGGTTAAGCCTAAAAATAGCTAGAGTCAGGTTGCTAAATTAGATGGTGAAAATGAATTTTAAGCTTGTAATAAGGACAATAATCAGCCTAAAAATAAAAAGGCCCTTGTAGGTCCTATTATTTTGTTTAAAACAAGTTTTAGGTTAAAAAAATACAAAACAAAAAGCATCAAATACTTCTCATACTTTAAAGGTATGTTTGGTTGGGGAGGGGAGAGAAGCTCCCTCCCCTCCCCTCCAAAACCTCCCCCCCACCAAATTGGGGGGGGGGGGGGGGAGCCCCCCTCCCCCTAACTAAACATACACTAAATGTCTCAACAACCACCATCTCTTTTGAAGAAACATTTAATGTATTTTTAAATACTTTATCAATTAGGTCTGTCATTTTTAATCTTGTTTTACTTTATTAGTATTTAAGTTATATTTCTTTAATCCTTTAAAAATTATAGTATAGGATTATCAAGATATTTATATAAATATAGATGATTTTTCCATGGATAAATTTGAATTAAAGCATTATCTAAGGGAACCAATATTTAGGCCTCATGATTAGAAAGAATTAGATGTATTGAACTAGTGAAGGAATAATCAACATCAATTTTTAATTCTTTTTAAGGATATGACTACTAATATTTTTAACATTTCAATCATTATTATAACTAGTTAATCAACTTTTAGTATTTGTTGACATGTTTTGACAAAACATCAAGGTCTTATTCTTTCAAATAATATTAATACTATTATTTGCACTCGTAATTGATTGTATATTTTAATAATATTACTATGATATCATATTTGGATGTTCAAACTTTGTAGATCTATTGTGCATATACTTAAATTTATTTTTCTAGACTTAATTTTATGCCTAATGGTTTTCTTTTTTTTTTTGAGATTATAAATGAGTTTATTAAGTTTTTAAATTTTAAAAAATTTATATTAGAGTTAAGGCTTACAATACCAACTCTTCAACCCAAAAAGCTAGGATTGGGCTTTGAAAACAAGAGTTCTAAAATTTTTTGGGCCCTGTGCTTCTAAACTTTAGCCCTTTAAAGGTTTATAAACTCTATAATTATAAATTCTTGGAATTAAACTCACCTAAATTTTTACCTATAAAAAAACAATTCTTACAAAAACATATTATCATTATCATATTATTATATTAATTAAGGAATTAACCAAGTTGGGTTAAGTCCCTTGCATGACCAAGGTTAGAATTTTTGCAAGGGCAGACAATGATAATAATAATGATAATAAAACACTAATCCATTCAATGTTAAAAATATGGACTTCTTGGACTTGAAACGATGTCGAAGGATTCAGCAATTACTTTGTGGAGTCCGGTTCAATCGTCTGATCCGAATCTTGAAGCAATGATCTAATATTGGGATTAAGGTCAAGGGCGCTTTCGTGTGTCAAACGTTTTGTTTGTTTGCGAAGGAACGAAGAGGGCCAACCAAGCCCTTTTCAAAGCCTATCAACGAAATGCTACAAGCAACCCCGAGCCACTCTGGATCTGTGAACCATTGTTTATTCGAGGCGAATTTATCTGCCACTTCCTTTGGTTGGTACTTTTACTCTCTTTCGCTTGTTCTCTATCTGTTTCTTGCTTGTTCGCCTGGTTTATCTGAGTTTGCTGCTTGGATCTGCTTTGGGGTGTTATTCTGAGTATGACTCAGGATTCAGAGTTTGGAAATGAAATACTGAAATTTTATGATGTTGATTATTTTCGATGATTTTAATATTATGTTGTCCTGTAAGTTGTTTATTTTGGGAACTTTGTGGAAAGAGCTTGGGAGAGTGGGGATTTTTAAGCTTTGGATTTACAGGGTTATGTAACGTGAGAATCCTGTGTTTCAATAATTTGTGCTATTGAATAATTTACTTGTAAATTGTTTCAATAATTTAGTTAGGGAACTAAATTGCTTATTTGTTTGATAATTTGAAATACGGTGCCCCAAGGAAGTACCTTTTATACCCAAACACTTGTTTCGGTGTAAACAAGTCTAAAATTTGCTATCGGTGCTTGAGTGGCATATTAAGCATATCTTGCGTCTGTTGATGTTTTAGCTTCTCATCAAGCGTTTACTTTGTTTCCTTTTTCATTGTAAGGAATTATACGAATTTAATCAAGGACAGGACGTAGTAGATTATTTTTGTACTTAATACTTATCAAACGAACACAGATGCTGATGCCTTTGTTTTTATTCAATGGTTTTGAACTGTCGATCCTGATGTGGAGCAATTTGCTGGTTCTTTTTGTTGTTGGAATAAATTTGAATTCTGAAGAGGGCTGGTTGTATGGATTCAACCTTTATGTTCATGTCATATACTAAGTGTCTTGGTATGGGAGTGGAGAAACTAAGATAAAGCATATGAAAAGGTAAAATGCTAATTCCTTGCTGACATGAATTCTTAAACAGTTTACTGTGTTGCTCTTGCGTTTAATTTTATTTTCTGAGATAGAAGTAGAGCGTTATTATTGGGTAAGATAATACAGAATTGTAATTCTGTATGTAAGAGAAAATAGAGAAGGATAGAGAGGAATTGGAGAGGAGAACAGAAAAGGGAGAAGAATTGAGAGAGATTCAGAGAGGTTGAGAGAGAAGAGACATAGGAATTTCTAAATAGTGCAGAATTATCATTGATAGCATAAGGTTTATAATTGAATCACAAAGTATTTATAGGATTCCATCCCAACGGCTATTTCCTAACTGCCTAAAGGCTATCCCCTCTAATTGTTGTCAATGACCCTTGAAGGCAAGGCTTTTTTGGAAGGGGGCGTGGTGTTATGTCATTGTAACTATTTCCCTCATTTAACCCTACAGCTGTGCTTTAATTTTGTTCTGCAGCTTTGATTAGCATAAAGGATGACTACATTGGATGCGACCAGAGCAGAACTTGGTCTTCTGGTTTTATATTTGAACAAGGCTGAAGCCAGGGACAAAATATGCAGGGCTATACAGTATGGTTCCAAATTTCTGAGTGATGGCCAACCTGGTACTGCCCAGAATGTTGACAAATCAACCACTTTGGCTCGTAAAGTTTTCCGTCTATTCAAGGTTAGATTATTCTATTTAACCTGGAAACACATACTTTATACATTTATTTATTCTTTTTGTTTTGATTATTTGTTTGTTTTATTCCTTGAATTTTATTAAAATGGATTCTTTTTTAGTCTTTCTTCTTATCTGCATCCTCTTAATTCCTTTTTCTTCTGGGCCTAGCCTTGATTTATTTAAATGAAGAAAATAAGAGATCTCTACTAGCGTGGATATTATTCTTTGTTTCTGCAATGACAGAATTTGAAAATAAATAATGAAAGAAGGTTTCATAACATGTATTTTGCAAACTATTAGTCTCTTCTAACACTCAAAGGGGAATTCCAAGATCAAACAGAAGTTGCAAATTAATTGATATTTTAATATGCAGTTTGTCAATGACCTGCATGCTCTGATAAGTCCAGCTCCACGGGGGACTCCCCTTCCCTTAATTTTGTTGGGAAAGGTACAAGCTTTATAAGAGCATTCTACCTTGTTATCCCTCTTATTTTATTTCACATTCTTACCTTCTCATGCTTTTTTCAGTGCAAAAATGCTTTACTGTCAACTTTCTTGTTTCTTGATCAATTTGTGTGGCTTGGCAGATCTGGCATCTACCAGGTAGGAATCAAAATGTTTCCCAAAGCTTTGAGTTTGTTCCTTGAATTATTAATGTAAAACTCTCACTGAGTGATCAAGTTACATATGTAAACTTTTATTGTCCATATCTACAGAATAAAGGACGTACAGAGTTAATTGGTAGAATATCACTTTTTTGTTGGATGGGTTCCTCAGTGTTTAGCACCTTGGTTGAGGTCTGTGTCTTCCCCTTTTCTTCCCTATACTCCTAACATGTATATAGAAGCAAATGCTTCATTCCTCCTCTATTAACATCTTCATGGCATGTTCTATCAGCTTGGGGAGCTTGGAAGACTCTCTGCTTCGATGAAGAAGTTAGAGAAGGAACTCAAGAACAGCAATAAATATGATGTATAGGTTCTTTGAAGTTTCATTTTCATTTTCACCTTACGTAGGACAGTGACAGTATTTTCCTTCATTTTAAGACTACATATATTCAACCACATTCATCATGGACGCAGGATGAGCAATACCGTGCTAAGCTAAAAATGTCAAATGAGAGGACTCTTGCAGTTATCAAGGCAGGGATGGATATAGTTGTAGCAGTTGGACTACTTCAATTGGCACCCAAGAATGTTACTCCCCGTGTGACTGGAGCCTTTGGACTTGTCACATCCCTAATATCTTGCTATCAGGTGCCTGCCATTATCACTATAGTTTCCCTTCTGCTTCTCTATTATCTGGGCACCCTGATTTCACTGGAAAATTCTGTCTCTATCTCATTTTCCAACTTCTTTTCCATCCATTGGCACTAGCAAGTAAGGCAAGCTTTTGATAGTTTTTCTTGAGAGATGTAGGGAATTCTAATCACAATGTTTACTAAGGAAATGAAGTAAGCTAGCATTTGAGTCCCTAGAAGATGCATGTTCCTTCAGTCTTGTCTCTAGAAATTAGTTAACATTATTTGACCCCGAATTTTTAGGAGTCCATCGGTATCCTGTTACGAAGGGATTAGTTTACCTTCAATTTTCTTGATGTTAAGATCATATTTGTGGGCTTTTAAGGATACCAATGTTAAGATCATATTTTCCTTTGACACCATTGAAGGGGCATTGTGATGCTTCTTTTATTAATTTGCTTAAATTTAAGCTGGTAGCTGAGAGTATTTCAGTTTTTTCATTGACAATAATATTTTTGGTTTGTGCAAAACAGTTACTTCCTGCCCGAAGCAAGTCCAAAATACTGTGAAGATGAAGAGACAGGATCAATCTTATCACGCTTCATTGTTGTAAAGTAATTATGCATGTTTGTAAGTTAATGTTGTTGGATTTGTGCAATGAGCATCTGCATGCTGGCCAATGAGGTGTCATCGTCATGTCATTATAAGTATTATCAATACCAATATTGTGACATTTAATGTTTGCTTATAGCAGAAACTACGTCATGCAGGATGTTTTGTTTGGTCCTATCTGTAAAACAAAATGTGTTAGCATGATAAAGGAGTGTTATTTTTCTTAGAAGTGTCTGTTGAGAGGGCTTTTTGACTTGTATATTATGAGGGGAAAAAGAAAAAAAAAAAAGAAAAATTTCATCTAAGGACTATAGTAGCTAGTTATTTACAAATCAGACCCAAAAAGTCAAAAAATTACACTGCAGGAGTTTGAGAATAAAATGAAATAAATTGCTGAAGCAAAAGGACCAAAATGGACTTACTTGAATGATTCACTTGTAAAAACTCTAATATTACATGATAATTTCTTTGTGTTACTTGTTAAGTCCATATCATTACTTGTGCATTATCTAACCTGTATTAAATCCATCCATTCCATGTTAAATTATTAAGTTGTTCTTGTAAATGACATTACTTGTTAAATTCATAACCTTACTTGTTTATTATCTAACCTATGTGTTATCCATTTATCTAACTTGTGTTTAACCCATCCATCGTGGCTTATTAAATTATTAACTTGTAAAATTATTAACATTATTTGTTAATCTCCTTACATTACTTGTTAAGTTTGTACCATTGTCATTTTTAAATGTTAGGGCAATTTGGTTATTTTGCACAAAAAGTTTATTCCAATTAGGGCTTCCAAGCTTGTAGTGTATTTTCAGTTTTTTAGGCGTAATTTGAAAAAAACTAGTTATTGTTGTCCTTAGATGAAATTCTCTCAAAGAATTTCCCCATATGCTACAACATGGAAAGAATTTCCTTTTTTTTTTTTGGATTAAAAAGTCACCAGACGGATAAAACGAACATGAAATTAAAAACTATAAATGAATGTCAAAGGTCTTAAACCAAAATAACTCTAGCCACTAGCTATCTCCTTGTCATTAACCCAAGCTACAGTGGCTCTGCTGAACTGGCTTAGGAAGCAATAAATGTCTTGTTCCAAAAACAGTGGAGACTTCGTCCTTGCAAGAACCCTTGAGTTTTCCTCCTTGCCAAAAGATACGTATCCATCCCATAGAGTCTTCTGTTTCTGTCGAGCTCGAAGCAGAAGTGATGATCCAGTTGAGAGTATTCCGAATGCATGCTCTCGCAAACAATTCAGGAAAAGTATTGCTGGGTCTGATAAACCGATTTTCTACGAATCTTAGCTGTTAGATACGTTCTTTTCCTACTCTTGAAATTCCTGGTAGTTACTTCTCATATCTTTGAGATTTGAAAATTTGGCCTTGAAATCTAGTGAGACTCGGAATCGATTATTGGAAAACCCAAAGAATTGTGGTTTTGAAATGAAATATTGTTTAGGGGTTTCTTTGATGATTGCCATTTTCAGAGAAACAAACTTCTTTGAGAAATTTGAACTATTCCTCGAATTCACGAATTACTGTATGGGGATGAGGCCTTATTTCTTCATCAAAGCTCTGTTGCATTTGTACCAGATGGTACGAAGAAGGAAGAAAATACCTTCAAGAAGCTGAAGGTTTCTGTTTTTTATTTGTAGTTTTGTTGTTTGCACCAGTCAGTTTGCTAAACCTTGTTCTGCAACATTCGAGGATTTGATAGACATCTCCCCAAATCATATTGCCTTTGCAAAAGGACAGTTATAGAAAATGTGATGCATATGTTCCAAAACTATCACAGCCAAAAACACAGGAATTAGAATTACTAATCCTTTGTTTGGTAACTTGGAAGTGTTTTTTTTTTTTAAGTGGAATTGGAAGAGGAAGTAAGGTAAAAATGGAGTTTTAAAAGATATGTTGGGTGTGCACATGAAAATGAAGTATAATTTTTAATTAAAATATGTATTTATGATATGAAAATACAAAAATGTTGTCCAACAAAAAAAAATCTCTTTCACCACAGAAGCATCACAGTCATCATGAACCACCATTGGGGGGGGGGGGGGGGCCACCAAGTGAGGACCTATGAAACTAGTATTGTACAAAAAAGGTAAGGAAGAATTACAGTTAGCCTCCTCTTAAAAAAATTAATCACAGACAAGAATCAATAACAAGTCTCATTTAAGAAACAACAATTCAAGTTTTATATTTTAACAATTCGTTCTGAATTGATCTTTGTCCATAATAAATTCTCTTAAGAAGGGGCTGATTGTAATTCTTTCAAAAAGCAATCATACATGGATACCAACCAAATTGAAACCACGATCCAGAATAATAATCCATTATCTTTTCACTTCCATGAAAGCCCTAGATGAAAAATAAAATCCATTATCTCCATCTCTTACATCATCTCTTTTCTCTTTCATGAACCAACAGGCACGATAACAACAAGCAATTAATAATCAAAGTCCCTAATGAAAGCAATAATGCAGGCACAATCAATCAAGAAGGGAATAAAAGATAAAAACCTATAAATCTTTGAATTAGAGAACCAAGAAATTGGATAGAGGAGGAGATAATGGAGGTGCTGGCAATGGCAGAGTTGCACACTAACTCAAATAAGCATGAAAAACTTTAGAGTCGTGTTTAGTAAAATAATACTTTTTTAATATTTTGTTTGGGCCAAGCCCAATTAAGTTTGAGTTGGCCCAAATATTTGGACAAAAAATTACATTTTTAAAATATATAAATATATTAAATATTAGTTAATTCCTTAAGTCTTAAATTATTTTAACAAAGATACATATATTTGAGTACATTATTATAAATTTTTGTAAAAAAATTAAAAAATTTATAATGTCATGTTTTTATTATTTTTAATCTATCAAACATCTTAAAATAATATTTAAAATGTATTTTAACATTGATTTTTAAATTTTAAAAGCCATATTTTTTTTAAAAAAATTGAGTCTTCTATATCATTTAAGTTTCCCAAAAAATATATTTTATATTTTTGTATAAAATAAAAATAATTAATTTTAAAGTAAAAAATTAAATTAAAAAAAGAAAAAAATTGGTAATTTGAGTATTCAAGCGGGGTAGAATAAACCTAAAACTTGAAGAGATTCAAGTCAGGCTTGGGTATTGGTCTTTTCTATATGTTCAGTCCCATCTCAAATATACTCGACTTGTTTGAATTACTGGCTTTAGTAATGATACTAGATGAGAGATGGATGAGGCTATAGAGAATGGAATCAGGGAACTAATTGACAATATTGGAACCAAAGAGGTAAGCTTGGAGCTCAGCAATGGAGGTAGTGGGGTCACAGTTGACACCGGACCGTCGTTGTCATGAAGGAGGAGTTTGCTTATTCAAGAAGAGCTGGAACATGGCAAGAGAAGGATTGAGGGAAAGAGGGAAAATGGGAGAGGAAATGAGGCAGGAGCTCAGTTTTTTGAGTCTAGTCAAGGAATCCAATTCTATCATATTTGATGAAACCTGCATCCCTAGAGAACCCAATTCATGTAAACCAAACATATAAAGTTAACGGTTTCGCTTTCATTTCTCTCTCTCCAATTCCTTGCTATCAAACGAGGCATAAAGTGGTGAGCCCTGAGAATGTCTCCTGTGAGTATGGCTCCAGCCTCCATGAATGATATTCTAAATCAACAAGAGTTTTGTAAGGTGGACGTAATTTCCAAAAAGTCCAACCACATGGAGGAATGCCTGAAATCCGAACACAGAGAACCAGAAGAAAGGAATTTTAATCCTTCCTTGACAGAACAACAACCTTTTCCCCATAGTAATTTGTCTGCTATGGACCCATAGGAAATTGGTGTGCATAAAATTTATTCAGATGTTGTGGCATGGTCATAAACAATATTGACCAAATTTTTGTCCCATTTGATGGGGGCACCAAGTATTTTGATGTCGGATCATCAAATCATAACTTTATTGATGTTTAAAGCCTCCTTGCATCTCTCTGTCTAGGTAACCACCAACCTGTGTCAAAGATAGAAATTGATTTACCTGCCCCAACTTAACTCCACTTTTACTATACTCATTTGTAAATATGATTGGTTTCAAAAAATCAGCTGAACCTCAAATTCTTCTTTTTCATAGTTTTAAATGTCCCTTGTCTCATAATGCAAATATATAGTAAATGGGAGAATAAAAGCTTGGTTTAAATTTTAAATGTCCGTTGTCCTCTTTTCCTTTCCAATCCTTGTCTCATAAAATTTTATTTAATTGAATTAGTACAATATTATTATGTGGACAATAAATAACACGGTATACCAGATTTGTCTACAAATTTCTCCACATTTAATTGTTTTACTAGAATGTCCTTATTGATATCATGGTATGTATGCACATAAAAAAAATATTTTCTCCAATATTTATTATGTTTAATTGTTATTTAACATTTAACATTTATATTATTTTTTAAATGAAAACATGATCATTTTTTTGTTTTTAAGATCATTTTAATTTTCTTTTTTCATTTTATACCTTTATATTGGTTCAACCAATTTTTTACATTGATGAATGGTAAACATAAATGAAAAGGCAGGTAAGAAAAATAAATAAAAGGAAAAACAAAAACTTTATGAACGCAGCAACGTAAGAAAGAATTGTAAATCACATGCGCCATTTTCCTCGTGTCATCAATTTTGTAACTGCAAGAATAGACGGTCACGCGGATACATGTGTGTATATATATGGCGGTTATTTGTACATCCATATATATATATAAGTAGAATCGCATGTGGATTTCTAAGCTTAACATGTGTTCCTTTTTTTTTAAATATTGCAAATAAAATGCGTCATCTTAGCTTCATTTAATTCTATTAATTTATTTGTTTAATTTCAAATTTTTATTTTAAAAATTGATTTATTTTAATTAGATTTTTCCCCATTTCTATCTCATTAATTATCTCTCCCACTCTCTTAACATTGTAACCTTCCATAATCTTATTCATATCGTTAAACATTTAAAACATTTAATTTTAAAAACTGAGAAGTTACGGCAAGATAGAAATAAGGATGATAATTAATATATTATTCATAATATTTTAAATTAAGTAAATCTATATATCTATATACAAAAGTAGAACTGCATGATGTCCTTTGAGCTCGTCATGTTTGCATTTGTTAAAATGCCAATATTACAAGCAACGCATGTCAATACAAACCTTATCTTACTAGATGAAATGGGTTACATGGATTATA